TAATATTCTATATTTGCGCCACTTACTTAGTTGTAATAACGATATTGTGAGTATCTCCTTACAGACTAGCCAATAATTTGCGTCGACATACGGTTATAAATACTGTTGGACTTCATACGGCAAAATATTGTTGCGTAAAGAAGATGGATCCACGCTAATAAAAATTAGTAGTGAAAGTGATATAAACAAAATAAAAAGTAAAAAATGACTATATTTTTGTTTAAAAATTATAATTTTTTTAGTATTTTTCTTTAACCATATATTTTTTAAAATGTCTTTTCTTTGTAATTTTTACTATTATGTCTCTTTTATTTTATATAATTTTAATCAAAACACAGAAAAATATGCATGTAACACGCTACACACAAACACAATCAGTACAAGCATACTATTTACAACAGCATTCATTTACGTTATACTATGTTACATTAATTTTACGCAATTTAAAAAATTTATTTACATTCAACTACTACACACTACTAAAATCAGTATAATTATTCGGTTTTAAAATACTTTCCCTCATAATTTATTAATCAACTATACGAAGTCTATACAAACAAATATCCTCATAAAATGTTTCCTTCATAATTACATGTTATGTCCATCTACCTTGAAAAATATTGTACATAATAATACAGCCCTTGCATATAAAAAAATCTTTCGGTCTATCTTACATGTGAATATGCTCTATATATCTCACACTTAAATGGGCAATATTTCCTTAGAATTAGATAAACTCTCCGTCTCTAATTCCATGGTTTGTGATGTTCCCAGCAACAAGCCTCACTGTTATTACACAAAATATACGTAGTCTCTCCGCAAATTTTGATATTCTACTCACCATTTTCAATAGGCTTAAGATCGAGTGTGACATTGTTGTCTTGACGGATTGCTGGTTATTTTGTTGTCCTTTTGTTCCAAACCTAGACGGATACAGATCATATTCAACTAAGAGGTTGTTTACCCAAAACGATGGTGTAACCGCCTACATTAAATCTAACCTCAATGTTACTGTAGAAGAACCCGGTTGTCAGGACTCAAATTGCTTAATTATAAAGATCGGTAAACAAACAGCTATTCTTGCCATTTATAGATCCCCTTCATACAAAAATATTGATAACTTTTTGCAATCTCTCAACAATATTTTACAAGAATTATCTCTTTTTAAAAATATTGTTATCACTGGCGATATTAACATTGATATCTGCCCTGATCAAATCTCTGTGGCACAATCCGAGTACTTAAATCTCTGTTCCTTTCACGGTCTTCTACCAGCACATACATTCCCTACGAGACATGGCAGGACATGCCTTGATCATGTGATGTTAAAAACTAAAAACCCAGCTGTAACCTTTGTATTACAAACTACTGTCACGGATCACCAAGCAGTCCTGCTGTGTCTTAAATATAAACAAATCCGTAATTTCGCCCACAGTACGTTTAATATTGTCGATAAAGAAAATTTATCCGCAGAAATAGCTAATATTAACTGGGACCCAATCTATAGTACAAACTCCGCCAATATTTCAATGGAATACTTTGTCACATCTATTCAACATGCCATAACTATTAACTTTGTCACTGTAAAATTATCTAGGAGAAACAGAATTATTAAGCCGTGGATAACTCCTGGCTTATTGCGCTGTATGAAACATCGGGATAATCTCCATAAAAAAGTGAGACTATCTCCTGACAATGAAACTGTCAAGCTAACATACACAAGATATAGAAATTATTGTAATAAGATAATTAAAAAAACTTATAACAGCATACGAAACTAACCTTATAAGGGCAGCAGGCAACGACAATAAAAAAACTTTGGGACGCAATAAAAATCATCACTAACACATTCAAAATAAAAAATACGGCTACGGAATTAATAAACAGGGCTTGTCCAAAAAAATGTGTGGAAAACGTTAATGAGTTCTTCGTGTCGGTTGGCAAGACTTTGGCTGAGAAGATGGTAGTTTGTAAGAATCCATCACATATTAACGTATTAGATGCAGTCTCATAGGACTTTAAAGTCGTTTGTTTTGCTGGACACTGATGAAGCTAAATTGGAGCGCTGAATTTTGGACCTTAAAAGTGTCTGTTCAGTAGGTTGGGATAATATCCCTAACTACCTCTTAAAAGAGAACAGGCACGTCTTAGCTCCAGAGCTAACTTACATTTTTAACCTTTGTTTGCATGAAGGCACTTTTCCTACGGTCTTAAAGAAATCAGTGATTCTACCTATCTATAAATCTGGAAATAAAAATCAGGTAACAAACTACAGGACGATTTCTATCCTACCTTCTGTCTCCAAGCTCCTGGAACGCATCATCACTAACAGAATTATAAAATACTTAGAAGCAAATAACTTACTTTCAATTAATCAGTTTGGTTTTAGAACTGGCAAATCAACTTGTGATGCGGTCCATGAACTTGTGGATTATGCGGTAAGGAACTTTGGCATATGTTTTTTTGCCAGCGTATTGACGCTGGCAAATAAACAATAGGTATATTTGTTGACCTTACTAAGGCTTTTGACACAGTTTCAGTGCCAATACTACTTAATAAATTAGACAGCATGGGAATTCGAGGAAATCAGTTAAAACTAATTGAAGATTACCTTTCAAGTCGCTGTCAATGCACCAAGATTGATGACTTTATTAGTGATGACCTACCTATTACTTATGGTGTGCCGCAAGGCAGTATATTAGGGCCAACTCTCTTTCTAGCCTATTTAAACGACCTTTGTGATCTTCCTCTAGAAGGTGGTAAGGTTATCTCTTATGCAGATGACACTGCACTCTTGTTCTCAGCCGACAAGTGGGAGGATGTTTATAGAATGGCGCAGGAGGGCTTTAACACTGTGTGTCACTGGTTAAAGTTCAATGTCCTGACCCTAAACGCAGAAAAAGCTGTATACATACCTTTCTCCATGCGAAACACTACCTCAACAACTCCTTCGCATTCACTGATTGCGCATGATTGCTGCAATATTGACGTATGTCATTGCCCTTCACTGATTACTACCAATATGATTAAATATCTTGGTATCCTTATCGATAACAATATTTCATTCCAATCTCACGTTGATTTAATTACTACAAGGTTGAGAAATCTGATATACGTATTTAAAAACATAAGGAATGTGGCAGATCCTAAACTGGTTAAACAGATCTACCTGGCTCTTGTACAATCTATAGTGTGTTACGGCCTTATTGTGTGGGGAGGTGCACCAAAAACCACTATTAAACCACTTGAAATAGCTCAAAGAGCTATTCTTAAAATAAGCACTTTTCGCCCCTATTTGTTTCCTACCTACCTCCTGTATCAATCTTGTGAAGTCCTCTCAATTCGCCAACTGTTCATCCTGCTCACTATTATGAAACAAAATTCAAGCTCTGATACATTCGCCATTTCCAAGCGCCGCAGAGATGTAACTTTCCCCAATAGACCAACATTTAAACACCAATTCGCACACAAATATTTTCCCTTTTTGGGCCCATATCTATACTCTAAAGTCTACAAAGTTATGGACATACGAAGCTTAAATATTAGAGACTGTAAAAGGAAATTATTTGAATATATTCATAAACTAAACTATAACGAAACCGAACAATTACTTAATGTACCTAGATGAATATTATACTCAACCTCCTACACACATACACACACTATCACTCTACACACAAGGGGGCTCACCTACACTCCACAACTGTAACTTAATATAGTTTGATCTTTTTATATACAGTGAAATGTAAATCTTAAAGGGAGGAGCGCTGCTGTCTGAAACACAGATATTAAGTTATCTAGTTCAGACACAGATGTTCACTGAATTGTATTCATTGTCAAGCGGTATCTTAAAGTGTTTGTATCCTAGAAATTAAGATATTCTTTGTTTGTTTGAATAAATAAATAAAAAAATAATCTTATGTAAGGGCTAGGCTTCTTCCAAGGAAATATTTGTCATATTCATTATGCAAAATTCAATTTTCTAACAGATTAGCTATCATTGTCTCTACATACTGCACTAATTGCACTGATTCCTGTCGTTTGTAGTCTTTATAAAGTAATAAATGATAATATCCCGCTGACCGAATTGCAATCACGGCGACCAGTCTTAACGACTACTAGCTATCAGTGCTAGACAGAGTTATAGTGCACGAAAGTGTGCGTAAGCACGGGTGCAATTGCTATTTCTACACTCTTATATTCCGACAGGACGGCAATTGACGCAACCGGAAAAAGATCAATCGCAGGGACTGTATTAAAAATTCTCTTCACAGTAAGTAAGCAGTAATGGGAAGTGGATATTGCAGTTTGTAGACCATCTATCATCAATTAAGAATCAAAATATAGATGAGTCATCTCTGCGGATTATGATGTAATGTCACGTTACTCAAGTGTCAAAAATTATTGAAAAAATTATCCAATTCCATTTGGAATTTAACGAATTTCCTGATACCATTTCATCATCCAAAATATAGGGGTATTATGCTGCTATTTTACGATGATATTCCACGAAAGTTTTTGAAGGCTACGAGAATTTCTTCCATTGTTTTTATTGATTTATCTTTTCTAACATCTATACGGGTTGAAAATGAAGTAAAACAATATATCCTTTTACTATCTCGGATATTTTACTATTACACTTTTACAACAACTATCCTTTTACTTAAAATGAATTTCCGGATACAATTAAAATGCATAATTTTTGTTACAGAAATAAAATGTATTTCATTTGATTATCAATTGATACATAAAATATATTTGATATATTACAGCCGTATTAGCTCATGGGCTAAGCGCTGATCGTAAAAATTGATAATAACATATTTAAATCATGATTTTTCTAGTATTTGATGGTGAAGGAAAATATTGCGGGCGGATCATTGCTTCACTCTCTCAAAAATGAGAAAGAATCAGTCCAACAATGGTAGCAACACAGCCTGTAACTTTATTTGACTTTAACTTTATTCATTTAATACTTATTGTCTTAGATATATCCTTACCAATTGCTGGTCTGATTACGCAAACGGGCAGATTCACGGCCATCGTACGAACAATTTCCTCGGAAACGGCCTTTGAAAATGAGTAGGTGTTGGGCCACTTGCCGATAAGCCTGAAACATTTTAAGAAACAATATTTTAATTCGGCATATTTAGATTTTATAATTTAATTTTCATTAAAAGTACTATAAGTTTTATGAAATTCATAAATATTTATTTTGATTATATAAATAATAATATTATAAGTGGTAGAGCCATGCTGCAGCTATATTAGCAGCATAGTTGTAGCACGAATGGGTCGACTCTACCGGGGAAGGACCACGCTCTCACAGAATACTAGCATAAAATAGCAGCTTAACGCTGCTATGTGTGTAGAGAACCGGAGATACTTCTTGCTGGAAACGAGACATTTCATCTTAGTCATCACGGGTGACAACGCATCTGCATTTTAATTCGTAATCGAGGATAGATGTAGATGTCTATGGACCACAGCAACCACTTACCATCAGGTGGACCTTGTGCTCGTTTGCCAACCTATCGTATTTAAAAAAATTTAATATACATTTTTTTATCCCCCTAGTGAGACAGTCTACGAGGAGGCCTGTGTTCAACAAAGGACTTTGATAAGCTAGAATGTAAAGTTGTATGAAAAGTTTTATTGTATGAATATAGCGATCCGTCCGGCTTCATCAAGGTGGGGTCAATTAGATTTTAATTTTTTTTTCCATTTCATTCAAAAGTGCTCTAAGCTTTTCGGAATATAGCTTAGATCACTCCTGGCATTATGCTCTCTCTCTCTCTCTCTCTCTCTCTCTCTCTCTCTCTCTCTCTCTCTCTGTTCGTGAAGTTTAATCTCAATCAGTTCAGCCACTACGACGATGAGTCCAGATAGACAGACAAAATTTTTACCAAATAATCTCTAGAGCTCGACAAAAGGCAGTTATTTCGATAACATTATAGACAGACACATCAAATTTATTTATATGCACAGGTAAAAGGAATCTAAAATTTTAAATCTTTTTTATCCCTGTTATCGAAATCATTATAGTAAAGATATTAATAGTTACTTTGCAACCACCCGCTCAATAAAATAAAATGATGTGTCTTACCTAGTTTGAAGAGCAAACTCTTAACGGTCAGCCGCCGTAGAGTCTACTACATCATCTGAAAATGCCTCGTGTAGAGGCGAAACATGTTTCGTATTTTCGTCGATGGTGTGTCTTTCCTAGAATAGTTGTGTTGGGAGTAGTGGTGTTGGGATTAAGGTTGACGGGATTAGTGCACGCAATTGAGGGAGGGCGGGAGGTGCCCTTGTAATTGATACGCATATCAGGCAGTGTAACAATTAATATACTTTGTGATAATGTTATATAGTTATGTTTATGGTAAGTGTAATTGGTAAATAAATAAAATGTTGGTATAATAAAAACATTATCTCCAAATTTCACCGGGTTCTATGGTAACTACTTCACGGTTCAGGCTGTACTTAAAGAAGTGGCTCACATAAAGGACAGTTGGTTACAACGAAAAACAGTGTAGCTGGTAAGTGGATATCGATACTATCCATAAAGATGTTACTACGAGGTTATTTATTTTTCCGAATATCAGCTTGGTACCAGAGACAAAGTGAAACGAACTTTTGTTTTGTGATGGTTTCAACATCTATCACTAACAAAACAAACCCAAACTCGGCATACCTAGTTCTACTATTCCAAGTGTTACAGTATTAGTTACCGAAGGACTTTGGAGTACATAATAATAATGATTATATATACATACATAAAAATGAATCTACATTTAATTTTTGTTATCAGACGCAAAGCTTCCCATCGTAAAAGTTCCATTTTTTATTCCAAGACATGAAGTATCTGTGTGCCAAATTTCAATCAAATATGTCAAGCCGTTTATGTGTTACTGAGTAACAAACAACCAACATTTTCGCAAACTTTCACATGTATTAAACTGGGGCTAATTTCCTTTACGACAATAAAAAAGTCAGCTAGTAGTTTGGTCTTGATAACAACTATAATTTTAGAGCGGATGCTTGGCATAGTATCTGGCACGCTTGGCAAGCGGGTTGGCAAACGCAGTAATTATACGTAAGTATACGTGGTAGAGCCATGCTGCAGTTATATTAGTAGCATAGTTGTAGCACGAATGGGTCGGCTAGACCGGGGAAGGACCACGCTCTCACAGAATACTAGCGTGAAATAGTAGCTTTATGCTGCTGTATTTCGTATGGTGAGTGTAGAGAACCGGAGACCCTTTTTACTGGAAACGAGGCATTCCATCTTAGTCCTCACGGGTGACAACGCGTCTGCATTTTGATTCGTAATCGAGGATAGATGTAGATGTCTATGGGCCACAACAACCACTTACCATCAGGTGGACTGTGTGCTCGTTTGTCACCCTATCCTATAAAAAAATTTTTTTTTATTGTTTTATTTAATGTTGGATGACCTCCTAGTAGGAGTTACGACCTGATAAGCAGACGATGGATGCATGTGGCTTAGGATCATATTTGTGGCAATCTACATGGGAGCCTATGATCAGTAGGCTATAGTGGACAACTACAACGACTATTTTATTGGTAACTTACGCGGGTGTCATAGCATCCAGTTTCTCATCCGACATCGTCTCGGCCATTTGTATCATTGCGTCAGGTGGCGCTGGACTTTCGTAGAACTGTTCGGGTAGTGCCGTACCAATACGGTCGCGAGTTGCATGTGTATATGCCGTGGACACGTACACGAATGATCGGAGGTTCTTACAGTCAGTGCCTAGACGCAAAGCTTCTCGGGTGCCCCGTGCGTTCATTAGCAACGCAGTTTTTATTTGTACATCGAATCTAACGTTCGCTGCAATATGGAAAATAACGTGTACCTGTAAAAAAAAATCCATCAGCATTGTAATCTTTTGAAAAGTATTGTTACAAGCTAAGGGTTCGTGACAGTAAAAACTGCCGATTGAATAACCAACATTGACACTTTAATTACCGCACACTAATTAAAACTTAAAACATACTAATAATTAATCACACTGGTATTGTTAATTCCATACTACTCCGATCGTGGCGGCGAATACCCTAAATGGCTTTATATATGCCTTTTCCACAAAAACCTATAGAATATTCCAGCAAATACCGGTCCCGACCAACTAGAGGTAGAGAATTCGACTGTGGAGTTTTCTAGAAAGTTTAGTCCTTCAATTCGATAATAGATGGCGCTAGTGCTATCAACAGTGGCGCGCAATATTATGATACTATTATCAGACTGTTAACCAGTTAAAAACGGATGGCATTTGGTCTGACACAACTGATTACTTCGCCTACGCGGATTCCAGATGTGGAGGATCATGCACCTTCCCCGTTGGACCTTCTGCTGACCTCCCACCCGGACGGATATCAGATTTCCGTCGACGCCCCTTTAGGCTCCTCGGACCATTGTCTTGTCCGGAGTGTGGTGCCACTCACGCTGAAATCGCAGTTGCATTCTGCAGGCTGCCGCCGTGTTTGGCTCTATAGGTCAGCCAATTGGGATGGGATGCGGTCTTTCTTTGCATCCTACCCTTGGGGGCGGGTTTGCTTCTCGCCGGACGATCCCAACGTTGTTGCGGATTCTGTCGCTGATGTAGTGCTTCAGGGTATAGAACTTTTTATTCCTTCCACTGTGGTGCCCGTTGGAGGCAAATCTCGGCCATGGTTTGGTGGTTCCTGTAAAATAGCATCATGCTATAAGCAGGTGTGCTACCAAGCCTGGGCTGACGCATCAGCGTCTCGGGATATAAACACCAGCGCTCCAAAAAAGAAGTATAATTCTGCACTCTAGGTCCTTCAAAAGAGCACATAGGCAGAATTAGCGAGAAACTAGATCGCCTTCCTTCTGGAACCCGTGCAGTCTGGTCTCTCGCCAAGGCTATCCAGGGGAATTTCTGTCAGCCATCTCTTCCATCTCTGCACAGGGAGGACGACTCACTGGCCCATACCGCAAAGGAGAAAGCCGATCTTAGGCTCTTTCTTTGCGTCGAACTCGACTCTCGATGACGGGGGGAGTACGCCGCCAACCATCCCGCAGTGTGAGTGCTCCATACCGGAAGTGCAGTTCACACAGCGCTCGGTTCGCAAAGCACTCCTCTCTCTGGACATCTACAAGTCGAGTGGGCCTGACGGAATCCCCCCAATTGTGCTTAGGACGTATGCTCCAGAGTTGGCACCGGTTTTAACGCGTCTCTTCCGGTACTCCTACTTCCTTGGCGTAGTCCCAAAATCATGGAAGACGGCTTTCGTCCACCCGATCCCTAAAAAAGGCGACTGCTCAGACCCGGCCAACTACCGGCCTATCGCCATCACCTCCTTGTTCTCCAAAACAATGGAGTCCATTGTAAACTGCCAGCTCATGAGGTACCTTGAGGATCACCAGCTGGTTAGTGACCGCCAATACGGTTTTCGCCGTGGTTGGTCAGCTGGTGATCTTCTGGTCTACCTAACTCACAGATGGGCGGAGGCAGTAGAGTCCAAGGGGGAGGCATTGGCCGTTAGTTTGGACATTGCGAAGGCCTTTGATCGGGTTTGGCACAAAGCGAAATCGTGCAATTGGATCACCAGCTTTCTTGCAGATCGGAGCATAAAGGTCGTTGTAGATGGTGCAAGCTCCGATTGCAAGCCTATTAATGCTGGTGTTCCACAAGGCTGTGTGCTATCGCCAACGCTGTATCTTCTGCATATCAATGACATGTTGCGTACCCGTAACATTCATTGCTATGCAGATGACAGCACTGGTGATGCTCTTTACACCGGCCGAGCCAATATTTCTCGGGAAAACGTCTCCGAGTGCCGGGACAAACTTGTGTCTGAAGTCGAGTCTCTGCTGGACAGAGTCTCGGATTGGGGGCGACTAAATCTAGTGCAGTTTAACCCCCAGAAGACACAAGTTTGCGCGTTAACCGCTAAAAAGAACCCCTTTGTCGTATCCCCTCAGTTTCAAGGCACTCCCCTTGTTGCCTCAGCCAGTATCGGAATCCTCGGCGTCGACATATCGAGTGACGTGCAGTTTCGTGGTCACTTGGAAGGGAAGGCCAAATTAGCCTCTAAAAAGCTTGGCGTGCTCAGCAGAGTGGGGCATTATTTCATGCCGGCACACCGCCTACACCTTTACAAGGCGCAGGTACGGCCGCACATGGAATACTGTTCCCATCTCTGGGCTGGGGCTCCCCAGTACCAGCTTCTTCCACTTGACCGCATCCAGCGCAGAGCGGCTCGAATCGTCGACGACCGAGTGCTTTCCGATCAGCTCGTTTCACTGGCGCTGCGAAGAGATGTTGCATCTCTTTGCGTATTTTATCGCATCTATCACGGGGAGTGCTCTGAGGAGTTGTTCGGATTAATCCCAGCCGCCAAATTTCGTGAACGCATTACACGTCAAACGTCCCGATACCATCCACACCATCTGGATGCTTGGCGGTCCACCACTGTACGTTTCATAAGGAGTTTTTTTCCACGTACAACCTCTCTGTGGAATAGTTTACCACCGGCGATTTTTCCGGACCGATACGACCAGGGGACCTTCAAGAAAAGAGCTTACTCCTTTCTAAAGGGCCGGCAACGCACCCGCAATTCTCCTGGTGTTGCGGTTGATCATGGGTGGCGGTAGTCACTTAACATCAGGTGAGCCACATGCTCGTTTGCCCCTTCTTCTATAAAAAACAGCTTCTTCTATAAAGAACACCAGCATTAATAGGCTTGCAATCGGAGCTTGCACCGTCTACAACGACCTTGATGCTCCGATCTGCAAGAAAGCTGGTGATCCAATCGCACAATTTCTCGGGAAGCTCATAGGAAGGGAGCTTCGAAAGAAGCGCTTTGTGCCAAACCCGATCGAAGGCCTTCGCAATGTCCAAACTGCCTCCGCCCATCTGTGAGTTAGGTAGACCAGAAGATCACCAGCTGACGGACCACGGCGAAAACCGTATTGGCGGTCACTAATCAGCTGGTGATCTTCAAGGTACCTCATGAGCTGGCAGTTTACAATGGACTCCATTGTTTTGGAGAACAAGGAGGTGATGGCGATTGGCCGGTAGTTGGACGGGTCAGAGCGGTCGCCTTTTTTAGGGATCGGGTGGACGTAAGCCGTCTTCCATGATTTTGGGACTGCGCCTAGGGAGTAGGAGTACCGGAAAAGACGCGTTAAAACCGGTGCCAACTCTGGAAGCACACGTCCTCAGCACAATTGGGGGGGATTCCGTCAGGCCCACTCGACTTGTGGATGTCCAGGGAGAGGAGTGCTTTGCGAACCGAGCGCTGTGTGAAGTGCACTTCCGGCATGGAGCACTCACACCGCGGGATGGTCGGCGGAGTACTCCCCCCGTCATAGAGAGTCGAGTTAGATGCAAAGAAAGAGCCTAGAAGATCGGCTTTCTCCTTTGAGGTATGGGCCAGTGAGTCGTCCTCCCTGTGCAGAGATGGAAGAGATGGCTGACTGAAATTCCCCTGGACAGCCTTGGCGAGAGACCAGAATGCACGGGTTCCAGAAGGAAGGCGAACTAGTTTCTCGCCAATTCTGCCTATGTGCTCTGACTTTGCCTTGGCAATGACTCTTTTGAAGGACCTAGAGGCGGAATTATACTTCTTTTTTAGAGCGCTGGTGTTTACATCCCGGGACGCTGATGCATCAGCCCAGGCTTGGTAGCACTCCTGCTTATAGCATGATGCTATTTTACAGGAGCGACCAAACCATGGCTGAGACTTGCCTCCAATGGGCACCACAGAGGAAGGAATAAAAAGTTCCATACCCTGATGTACCACATCAGCAACAGAGTCCAGAGTGTGGGATCATCCGGCGAGAAGCAAACCCGCCCCCACGGGTAGGATGCAAAGAAAGACCGCATCCCATCCCAATCGGCTGACCTATAGTGCCAAACACGGCGGCAGCCTGCAGAATGCAACCGCGATTTCAGCGTGAGTGGCACCACACTCCGGACCAGACAATGGTCCGAGGAGCCTAAAGGGGCGTCGACGGAAATCTGATATCCGTCCGGGTGAGAGGTCAGCAGAAGGTCCAACAGGGAAGGTGCATGATCCTCCACATCTGGAATCTGCGTAGGCGAAGTAACCAGTTGTGTCAGACCATATGCCAAGGCAAAATCATGAACAGATCTCCCCGCCTGATCGGTTAAACGTGAACCAAGCCATTCGGCGTGATGGGCGTTAAAGTCGCCGAAGATCACGATCTCTGCGGAGGGGATCTGCTGTAGTAACGAATCTGCAGCCATTTGGACGTGGTCGAATAGTCGGTCTGTTTCGGCATTACCGCTATGGGACCTATAGAGGCACCCGTAGACGCGCGGATGGTCGTCGCTGTCTACGCGTAGCCAAAGGATGGACAGGTCCGAACCTTCAAGTCTGCCGAGGCGTCGAGAGCAGATGTCCTCTCTGACGTAAACGCAAACTCCAGCCCGAGGCACAAAGGAGTGTTCCAGTTTGTACCCCGGGTAGGAGAGATACGAGACATCAGCCGGAGAGGACACCTGCGTCTCGGTCAGAAAGAGCAGAGCCGGCCTCGCCGTCTCGAGATGGTAGTGGACGGCGTTTAGGTTAGAGTGAAGTCCCCTGATATTGCAGAAATTCACGGACAGCGTGGCAGGGGTCGCCTTGGTCTTGTTGCTCCGTTTGCCCCGAGCAGTTGTAGTCTTGAGCGGAATTTTGCCCCCCCCCCCCAGAATACGCGGGGCAGCCTGAGCACCCACGCTCAGAAGTGGAGAAACATGGTCGTGGATGCTCAGCGAGGGATTCTCCAGGGGTGCTGGTACCCTCCTGGGGTAGTTTTCATCATTTAATTCCGCTACCATGTTGATTGGGGGGGGGGGGGGGGATTTGGGCCTCCGGCCACCTGCACTCACCAGACGAAACGCGGAAGCAGAGCTTCCACTTCACGCCGGTATTCTGTGAGGTCGTGGTACCACCCCGGTTTGAGCCGGCCCATACGTGCAACAGCAAAGCTGCCGCGTGGCTCTACCACTGTTAAACTAAGTAGACGGAAGTTTATCGACCAAGTTGGCGATATATTGATGACGGGTGAAATTAAGAGAACCCTTAGCCGCCTAGCATGTATACGTACGTATATGGGTGTAAAGGAGGCGAGGGAGGCGAGTCGGAGTTGTGGCAAATGTCAGTCCGTAGTCTCTGCCCACCTCTCACGAGTGACAGGGTTGAGTGTTGATGTTTATTTAAATCATTATATGCTATAGTTTCTAAATATTACGGTTTATAAATATTATTTTAAAATGAAAACCAACTTGGTTGCTGACTGTATTCCAATCTTCATCACTCATTCCCAATCTAATTTGGCTGATGTCTCCTTGTATTATAGATATCTTGTCCGCAAAATTTGGTTTCTCTTTGCGTAACTCGTCGAATAACTGAAATAAAATGTCCTAATAGGTTAAATAGCTATTTTCAATCGTCAGTTAAAAGTTATCCATCAAATAAATTATAACGTGACTGAATACAAAAGTGAAATATGTCAACTATGTTTTGATACGGCGGCCGTTGTTTTTAATTAGTTTATGTCGTGACTTTTACACAAACACTTCAAATAAAACTAATTTAAGGATTTAATCTCGTTTAATGCCGACTTTTTAATTTCGATTAAACAGGAAATTAAAAAGTCAGAAATAAACCCGAAAAAATCCGTAAAATTAGTTTCATTTAATTATTTATGTTGTATTTCATTCTATTCATAAATTTTATCTAAGGATTGAAGAATCGGCCCACGTATCTATCGCTAAAGACAGAGTCGTAAAATCGGTATAGTAAATGAACAAAATTCGCATACAGAAGGCAGTAAATATGCACATTCTTTTATCAGTTCGTAAAGACCTAGGTTCAGATGTAAATTTTTGATGCGTGATGGTAATGAAAGGTAGATAACACAAAGTTTCCCTCATCACCTTAACGCAATTCAGCCTAATATATCTCTTAAGGTATATCTTTTTTTTTATATTTTATAGTTGTAGCACGAATGGGTCGGCTCAACTGGGGCAGGATCACGCTCTCACAGAACACCAGCGTAAAAAAACAGCGTAATGTTTCGTATGGTGAGTGGAGAGATAACGGAGACCCTTTTTACTGGAATAGAGGCATTCCATTTCTTAGTCTTCAGTGGTGACGACACATTTGCATTTTGATTCTTAACTGAGGACAAATGTGGATGTTTATGGGCCATGACGTCCACTTTCCATCAAGGGGACTGTGCGCTCTTTTGTCACCTAATGCTATAAAAAAAGAAAAAAATAAACAAGGAAAAAAAGTCCGAACCCTGCGCACATTTCAAGTGACGCACAAACCAAGCTCAACTTATTGTAAAAATACACTCACGTACACATATGCATCTAAAATCATTTGCAATCAACAACAAGGTCTAGCAGTGAAACAACACAGAAAACTTAAGATGTGTGCATGTGTCCGTTTGGTTTCGGCATTACTTGAAATGAATACAGCGCTCCGTCGGTCTTTCATTGTTCTTTACTCACCGGATCTTTTAAGACTTCTACGAGTCTTTCATTCGGCCGTTTATCCTTTTTGCTTCTTATTAACACAAACATTTTACTTAGTGTACAAGCTCTGGAAAAATTTATTGCAGAACTGAATTAAATGATATTTTTATTAAAAAGGCTAAAAAAAGGATATTTTTATTAAAGAGCAGAGCCGGCCTCGCCGTCTCGAGATGGTAGTGGACGACGTTTAGGTTAGAGTGAAGTCCCCTGATATTGCAGAAATTCACGGACAGCGTGGCAAGGATCGCCTTGGTCTTGTTGCTCCGTTTGCCCCGAGCAGTTGTAGTCTTGAGCGGAATTTTGCCCCCCCCCCCCAGAATACGCGGGGCAGCCTGAGCACCCACGCTCAGAAGTGGAGAAACATGGTCGTGGATGCTCAGCGAGGGATTCTCCAGGGGTGCTGTTACCCTCCTGGGGTAGTTTTCATCATTTAATTCCGCTACCATGTTGATTGGGGGGGGGGGGATTTGGGCCGGTATACCTCTAGAGCCGCATTTAAATTTGAATATATGAAAATAGAGGATAAAGTTGTTATCGTAATTATTTGTTATACTTTTTACATTTGATATTGCTTTATCATCATCGTTACAGCCTTTTACAAGCCCATTGCTAAAAATAGACCTCCCTCAAAGCATGCCACAAAGCACGATCCACAGTCACCTACATCTATCGACTTCCTGCACGTCTTACCAGGTCGACACTCCATTTAGTGGGGGGCCGCACCACACTTCGCCTACGAGGCTGCCACTCGGGAATCTTTCTTTGTTATCGGTTGTCGGTTCTTCGAGCTATATTATTATATTACTTTAGTCCACTCAAAAGGGTTAAAAATCCAAATTTTAATAAAAATTAAAACATAACTTCAAAAATTTAAAATAATAAAATAATTTCCACGTTGGTTGAGTGGTTGAGTGACCTTTAAAGTCGGTACCTTAACTTATCGATAATCGGTACACTATGTCTTAATGCTGACTTTAGAAGGTATTTATGTTTTTTCTATAGGATAAGAGTGACAAACGAGCACACAGTCCACCTGATGGTAAGTGGTAGCTTTGGTCGATAGACAGATGCGTTGCCACCCCTAAGGACTAAAATGAAATACCTCGCTTCGAGTAAAAAGAGTATCCGGTTCTCTACATTCACTACAAAACACAGCAGCATTAAGCTGCTATTTTACGCTGGTACTCTGTGAGAGCGTGGTCCTTCCCTGGTCGAGTCAACCCATTCGTGCTACAACATAATATAGCAGTAGTATGGCTCTACCACGTATTACGTGGAAATTTATTATATTATTCTTTTTAAATTTTAAAGTCTATTCTATTTTAAATTGAAAATTTAGTTTCTTGTAAAATACAATAATCCTGTGTCACGATGTTCGTTCACACTAATCTCCGAAACCGCTTAACCGGTTTTAATAATGACCGATTTTTACAAGGTAGAGCCATGCTGCAGCTATATTAGCAGCCTAGTTGTAGCACGAATGGGTCGGCTCGACCGGGGAAGGGCCACGCTCTCACAGAATACTAGCATAAAATAACAGCCTTAACACTGCAGCGATTCGTATGGTGAGTGTAGTCGTGAGAACCGGAGACGCTTCTTACTGGAAATGAGGCATCCCTCCTTAGACTTCACGGGTATTACGGAGTCACAACGCATCTGCATTTTTATTCGTAATCGAGGATAGATGTAGATGTCTATAGGCTACAATAATCACTTACCATCAGGTGGACTGTGTGCTCGTTTGTCACCCTATTCTATAAAAAAATGAAATTTTGTAAATGTGTGCTTGTTCCCACTAGAGAATTAGGATTTTTATCCCGATAAGTAACCTTTAATACGTTTTATTACCAATTTAACGATTTTAGGGACAAAGGGTCGTCGAAAAGTGCTCTTTTTATAGACTAGAATGTATATTGTATAATGCTGAATATAGAAACAGAGCATTAAAAGTGTAGGGATAAACTGATAAAGTATTTGATTCGGATAAAGAATTTGAATGTATTAAATGAAGCTTCAAATTATTTTAATGCAATTTACATGTTATAAAGGGTTTTAAGGTTTTGTACTCTGGGTCTGGACTCGGATAGCCATCGTAGCTCTACTGTATAAACACTTCAGCACTTCGATATAACGACAGTCAACTTGGCACCGCTGAAGGAACTGTAGCACCGCCTAAATTTCGACGGAACCAAAGGCTTTTTCGCAGTCTACATACGCCAGGCAAAGTGGCAGATTGTTCTCTTCGGTATCCTATACAATCTGCGACAGGGCATGTTTGTGGTATATGGTACTGAAGCTTCTCCTCGGAAAAAAGCCTCGGAAACGGGCTTGTTAGGGAGGCTGGAAGTCGTCAAATCTGCGTGCGAGACGATTCGAAATGACTCTCGAAAACAGCACATCGACGCGGCTCAGAAGGGTAATCGGTCTGTAATTCTTCAAGAGAGCGTTGTCGCCTTTCTTGAAGAACAAAACCACCGCACTTCTGCTCCACGCCTCCGGAGTAGTGCCACCATGGAGGATGGAATTGAAGAGCCCCTAAAGGACTTTAAGTACCGGTGTTTCACCTGCTTTCAGAAGCTTCGCTGTAATTCCGTCGGACCTTGCCGTTTTTAGGGTGCTGGAGAGCCACTCTAATCCGCTCAAACGGACGTCCGGGATATTATCTGAATAGTGTCGGATAAGACTTGCTCTTGGATCGTTACTCACACTTGCGTGTAGCTCCAACGATGATGTGTACAGCTGCCCATAGAACCTCTCAATCTCACTCAAAATCTCAGGTGTCTCGGAAATGATGCTGCCACACTCAGTCTTTAGCATTGACAGTTGGCTCTTTCAGATAGACAGATCTCCGGCAAAGACTTTGGAGCCCTGGTTCCGTTCAATCGCTTCTTTAATGCGATTTGTTATTATTTTTTATTATATTATAGATTAAAGTTGCGAAAGTCCCGCCGCATGCGTTTAGAGATCTGACTGTTCAGTTGCCTGTATGCTGTCAAATCTGCTGACGACTGCAGCTTCATCTCCCGTCTAACATCCATGAGATAAAGAGTGTGATCGGAGAGTGTTTGTGTTCTTTTGCGGCGGGTCTTGCAGAACTTAGCTCCGACGACACACAATGACAAGCTCGTGGAAACTGTCCATACGGACAGTTTCCACGAGCTTGTCATTCGTATCGTCCACTACATTGCAATCTTCTATGCACTGAAAACGGTTTTGTAACTCGAGCTGAAATGTTTTGGGACTTTCGATTAGAGCACGAGGGGTACGGAGCGTTGACTTCATTGGACAAGACCTCTCCAACTTAACGTTTAGGTTCAGTGTGCCTCTAATCATTCGGTGATCGCTGCCTGTTTTCACAATGAAGTCAATCTCATTCTTTGTCAAACCGTCGGGTTTCGATCAGGTCCACTTTCTGTGGGGCGACGTGACGTGACGTTTAGGGTGACGTTATATCCCCGAAACTCTTCACCGCTGCGTTGGAAGACAAGTTACTGGAATGGAAAGGATACGGTACTAACATCAATGGCGAGTACATCACTTACCTTCGATTTACCGACGATATAATCCTTATGGTAGAATCGCTGGAGGCCCCAAGCACTGTGCTCAATGACCTCAATAGTGCCTCCCAACGGATAGGTCTTAAGATGAACATGGACAAATCAAAGATAATGTTTAATGTCCATGTCACACCTATGCCGGTAGTTGTTGGGAGCACTATGCTCGAAGTTGTTGACGAGTATGTTTGCCTGGGACAAATAGTCCGACTAGGTAAGTCCAACTTCGATCGAGAGGTCAATCGACGGATTCAAATCGGCTGGGCAGCGTTCGGGAAATTACGACACATCTTCTCGTCAGGTATACCTCAAAATCTGAAACCTAGATTGTACAACCAGCGCGTGTTGCCAGTGATGACTTACGGATCTAAGACGTGGTCCTTTACTGCTGGCTGTATGAGGACGCTCAAGGTCCCTCAGTGAGCCATGGAGAGGGCTATGCTCGGGGTTTCTCTGCGTGATAAACTTAGAAATGAGGATATCCGCAGTAGAACCAGAATGGCCGGCATAGCCCAACAGATTAGTCAGTTGAAGTGGCAATGGGCCGGCCATATAGCTCGAAGAACGTCGGCTGTCGAACTGATGGGTAAAAAGGTTTTTGAGTGCAACCTCGTACTGCTAGGCGTAGTGTAGGGTGACCCCCACTAGATGGAGTGACGACCTGGTATGACATGCAGAAAGTCGATGGATGCAGATGGCTCAGGAGCGTGCTTTGTGGCATTCGTTGGGGGAGGCCTATGTTCAGCAGTTGACTTATGAAGGGATGTAATGATGATGATGATAATGATGAAAGGGTTTTTCAATAGGGTTTTTCGAGTGTTGATAGCGTGTTATAGCGGCCTTCTTGGTAATGCAGTAGTTGTAAAATTTGACAAGAATACTTATTCAGTCTTGATATTTCACCATAGAAATCAGTGCTCTGTTTGCCTAAGGTTCCGTGCGTTGCATCAAATTTATGGCATTTTTGGCCATCCTGCAGAGTCCACGATCCGTCATTATAATTAATAAATTTGAAGCATCCGGGTAGCAGTGCCCGTATGTCAAGGAAACGCATGATCGTTGACAAATATTGTTGCCGTTCGGGACAGTGTGCGAAAAAACCCCAGACAATTCAAGCGCGTCGTGCGGAAGAGCTTCGTCACTATGCGACATCAACTTAGCCGATTTTGCGTCGAGACTTTTCTCATTGAAACAAAGTTCAATTAACTAACGAGCAAAAACCCAAAGGCCACAGATAGCACCGTGTATTCGCTTATTAGGTTTTAAAACATTTGGCGGATGTCCCCACTTTCGGTAAAAAAAAACATTTTCAGTGATGGGGCTCATTTGTAGTTGTGTGGCTTTGATAAGTGGATTTGAAGCGACGAAAATCCACTGAAGATTCATCAGATGCCTATACACTCCGGAAAAGTCACTGTTTGGTGAGGATTTGAGTCTGGCGGTATCATCGGCCTCTGTTTCTTCCAAGATGCGCAAAAAGCCGCGTTCACAGTCAATGATGATGGATATCAGA